CAATACACACACAGGCAATATTTACAAGTTTGTTTGTTTTTTTTAAGTGATAGTCATCAAGTGGCATTAAAAAAAAAAACAAAACAAAACATAAAAGTACAAACAAAGAAATAAATTTGTGTTTATGGCAATGTCATGGTCCATAGGTGCCCAGAAGATCACACATGGAGACAGGGAGAGGACACGGAGAAAAGGGAAGCAGGAGATAAAGAGGGAAAACAGGGAGAGAGAGATTGAAAAATAGGTCAGAAATTCAGAAATCCAAGTCAAAAAGGCGATTTTTAAACTGAACAGAGGAATACGAAGAAGGGAACTGTAAGTCAGAGGAATGAAAAAAAAAAGAAAAGAAAAGTCTTAGTATGTTAGCAGCACAGCCAACGAGTGATGTTTTATGGCAGGAATGGATGGAAGGTGATGGGATGACGACAACAAGAAAGGAATTTCAGGCAACAATCTTTATCTGCGTTAGCATGTACAGTGGACCTTAAAGTATTCACTGAGGTTAGAGATCACAGCCGCCCATAAATATCTCAGACTTCCTGCCTAGTTTAACATTTCAAACACCAAGTATTCCTTAATATCCACCAATACGCACGTAAGAAACTATCTTATGTCTTCTTTATTTCCGACTTTGGTGTTACGGCCAATCAGCGGCAAGAAAAATTAAGGCCATTTCTGAACTGGTTATCCTGCCAATGCCGGTCGCTGTGTTGCTAGGTATTTTAGCTTCTCAAGCTGCGTTTTAAAAATTATTTTAGACATGCTCTAGGGAAATAGGTGGATTTTTTGCAAAAAAGCTTTTAAATCAGTCATGGTGTGAAGTTAAATGAAAATCTGAACGTAGAAAACTAATCTACTAAACTAATGTGAGTTTAGGCATTACCTCCTGATAAGTAACGGCCAATGGTGTAATGCACAACAGATGCAGGTGTAAGGTTACATCCTGCAGACACAATAACTTTTACTACCATTTTTTTCAACTCTTACACTAAGCAATCAATGGAAAATCGTGGCTAAAGGAGAGCTTCTAACTTGTTTTCCATAAAGACATTTTTTTAGTTGTCATTCAGAAAAAGTATCCAACAGAGACGTTTTGTCATGATCTCAAGATAAAAGTCTGGAAAAAATTGGGCGAGTTCCTGAGATAAGTTCCAGTGTCAAGTGTCCTGATTTTATACATTTCTTTAACTTGCAACAACACAGAATTGAACTCTTCGGGCAGACGCATATCTGTTATGTCTGTTTTATTTCATACGATAGTCAACGCACACTTGAAAACTGCATAATTTAGCAGGAGTTTGTGTTGATTATGTCTATAGATTAAACTAAAAATTAAACCAACAAATGGTATAACATCAAACATTCACATCAGATTGATTGATGTTGCCTCCTGAAGCAGGAGGAATAATTTTAGATTTTCAGTTTTGACTATAGAAATTGATGTTAAAATCTGTTAATTCTTTTTTTTTTTTTTTTTTGCTTGAATACTAAGAAAATTATTGTTTTACTCAGAGTATCGTATCAAAATAGTCCTCGCCTTGTACTGTCCAGAGTAACTGTAATAACCATTGCTTATGACCAGCAAGCAGTTTTTAGAATTTCTAGTCAAAAGTGAAACAATAAAAAAAAAAATTAACTCGTTACCTTGAAAAGGAAGCTCAGTTTGTTTATTGAGATAGAGCTATGAATGTTTTTATTTAAACAACTTTCTCTTTGGGCTTCCATGAGTTTGAGTC